AAAATAACATTCTTTATTGAAAATTCCATGTAGCCAGTTCTTATATCTAGTAGTTAATCTGTCAGTTACAATTAATGAATGTAGCTTTAACCCAAATGTTGGTTGATACTTACACTTATGTTAACAAGCAGGCAAGTATGAGATAATAAAGATACATGTCAGAACTTCACTCATTTGTCATGGATGTGACTACTTTGCTGAGTTGGATAAAAGCAATGAACCATAAATAGTTTGCCAAGTACAAGAAAAACATTTCCTAGATTTTTTATGCCACTCAGAGCAGCTCTAATCTGTAGTAACCCTAATCTGTATTATCAACATTTTCTCTATCATTTTTTCAGCTCTAACAATCAATGCAACAATGAACCAAGCCTAAATTTGCAGTGTTTCTAATTTCCAGGGGATAAACACTTACTGCACCCAACTTCAAACTATCAGAGTGAGGTCAATGGATGCAGAGCTGGAAAGGGTTGTTAGTAGTATGCACTGATAAAGTCTTTCCATAAGGCTTTGTAGCTCTTCTTCCCACGACTTATATGTATGTAAATTATGCTCATCTTGTTACTATCTAAGCCTTAAATCCATTACAGAAGAAATTTTTGTTTTATCTTTGCTGTTTTTCGAGTGCCTATAACAGAGATTTACACACAGTAGGCATCCAATAAGAATTTACATTCTTCCAGGCATTTTCCTAAGTGACTTACTACACTAGACTCACACAAGCCTGTGAGATGGCACTACTATTATTTCCATTCTACAGATAAAACCAGAAAATGACTGGTCCAAGTCACTGAAAGGTAAGTGGTGAAGTTGGGATTTAAGCCCAGGCTGCACACTTGCCTTCATGGCAGCTTCTCGGGGCCATGGTTCTGGCAAAGAGAAATCCCAGGCTAAGTAAAGAAATGAGATCAGAGTAGAACAAGTGAATAGAAACAATATATGGGAGTGGATAAGTTACCTGGCAAGTTTAATTGTGTAGAGAAATTTTAAAGGCATTTTAGAGAACCACCGGAAGTTGTGGGAAGAAAGATCTCTGAAGAAACTGCAAATGATAAAATGAGGGAAATAGTCCCTCCAAGAAAACAGTAAATTAAATGAGAGAGACACTGTAGTCATAGTACACTGGCTCAGAAAAGAAGCCATGATAATGAAAACAATGAATTCAAATGTCATTAAAAATAGTCATGGCACTAGATGGCACATGCCTCTGATCTCAGAACTCTGGAAAGCTATGGCAGAGAGATCCAAAGTTGAGTCCAAGATGAAGAGATGGCAATCAGAAATCTATATATGTACCAAATACTAATGCCCCCAACTATACGAAACAAATATTAAGGGACACAAAAAACCAAATATGTACTAATACAGTGGTAGTGGGGGTCTCAAATAGACAAATTATCTGAACAAAAATATCAGCAGTGAAATACTAGAACTGAACCAGGCTTTTAAACAAATGGTCTTAATAGATGTCTACAGAGTGTCCCATCCCACAAAATTAGAATATACATTGTTTTTGGCTGCACATGAGACATTTCCAAAATGGACCATGTAACAGTACATAGAACATGTGTAAGTAAATGCAAAGTAAGTGAAGTTACCCGATGTATATTATCAGGCCATATTGCAATTAAGGTGGAGATCAATAGCATAAGAAACCATAAGAAAGTCACAAACACATGGAAATTGAATAACACTCTCCAGAACAACCAATAGGTCACAGAGGTAATTAAAGAAGAAATTAGATAGTTTTTACAATTTAATGATAATGCCAGTACAGCATACAGAAAATGACTGGGTCACAATGAAAGCAGTTCTATGCAGGAAATTAATTCAGTGAATGTCCACCCTAGGAAAATAGAGCAAGTTCAAATAATCCCTTTCACAATAGCATCCAGAAAAATGAAATATCTAGGAATGAAGGAAGCAAAAGACCTCTACATTGAGAGCTACAACACTCTATGAAAAGAGATTGAAGAGGATATAAGAAAATGGAATGACATGCCTTGTTCCTGGGTAGGAAGAACCAGTATAGTGAAAATGGCCATACTTGCAAAACTGCTATACAGATTCAATATGATCCCTACTGAAATCCCAACAGTATATTTCACAGAACTAGGGAAAACAATACAAAAATTCATTTAGAACCAGAAGAGACCTAGAATAGCAAAAGCCATTTGAGGCAGCGCAGACATGACAGGGGGTATCACAATTCCCAAGTTGAAACTATACTACAAAGCCACTGTGTTAAAAATAGCATGTTACTGGCAAAAAGACAAACCTGAAGATCAGTGGAACAAATTAGAAGATGCAGAAACAACTCCAGATATACTCAGCTACCTCATCTTTGACAAAGGAGCCAACCATCTTCAATGGAGGAAAGATTGCCTCTTTAATAAATGGTGTTGGAAAAACTAGCTTTCATCCTGCCAAAGATTAAAACTAGAGCCCTATCTTTCACCATGCACTAAACTAAAACCAAAGTGAATTAGAGATCTAAATATTAAAACAGAAACATTAAACTTGCTGGAATGTAAGCTAGGCAGAACTCTGAAAGACACTGACATAGGAAAAGACTTTATGAACAAATCCTCAGTGGTATGGGAACTAGCACAAAGAATCAACAACTAGGATCTCATCATACTAAAAATCTGCATTGCAAAAAAAAAACCAACAGAGCTAAGACACAACCTACAATGTGGCAAAAAATTTTTACCAGCTACTCCTCAGACAAAGAACTATTATCTAGAATATATAAAGAACTAAAAAAAAAAAATCAGGCCCCCCCAGATATAAAGAGCCAATTCAAAAATGGGCAACTGAAATAAAAAGACATTTCTCAGACAAAGAAGGTAAAAGCAGCAAATAAATATATGAAAAAATGCTCAACATCACTCGTCATTTGAGAGATGAAGATGAAAACAACTCTGAGATTGTACCTCACCCCCGAAAGAATATCTGCTATCAAAAAATCAACCAATAACAAATGTTGCCAGGGCTGTGTGGAGAAAAGAAAAGAAAAAATATGAGAAAAGTAAAAAATGGAAACAAACTCTGAAAATAGGAAGGGTGGAGGAGGTGAAGAGAGGTCAGGGGAATGGGAAAAAATAAGAACCAAGATGGATTACGTAAAGGTACAAGATCCCAATGATGAATGTAACTATATTGTATACCTAAAATGTACCAGTAAACTTAGTGGAAAAGAAAAAGTTGAGCCCAGCCTGGGCAATTTAGTAATTTAGTGATACCTACTATTAAAAAAAAATTTTAAGGGCTGGGATGTAGCTCAGCATCAAGGCCTTAGATTCAATCCCCAGTTCTCCCACTCAAGTCATGGCTTTTGCTATACTGGAAAGAGAAGGAGAAGAGCAAAATTCCACATCTACCAAATAGAAAATCAATGATCTTTTTAGAAGTCATGAATCAAATTGCAGCCATGCAAATATAATAATACAAGTGTGAGCATAAATGCAGAAGAAATATCTAGAATATTGATGTCATTATCTCCAGTAGGAAGAATATAGTCCTTGTTTGTTATTGTTACATATTATTTGACTTGCTAATTCCTGAGCATATGTTATTTTAATAAAAAATGAAATTAAAGCAAGAATGTAGTATTTTTTTCTATACTATTGTCAAAGACTCTAAGCATGATAATGCCAGTGTTGACAAAGACATACATAAAACAAGCACGCATATGCTAACCAATAAAGCTGTCTATTGGTATTTTGCTGCAAGATCATTTGGTATTTTGTTTCAAATACCCTACAAAAGTTCTGTTTGAGCATTACTACTGACTGGAATTTATTCTAAGGGAAAATGTATTTAATCATCTTTTATTATAGTAAAAAAGAAATAACATAAATACATAATATTTTGCTTCCAAGTTTTAATGAGACCTAAAGAGTTATGAGTAGAGTATGACAATTCAACACATGTTTACAATGTGTTATACAAATTCAGGGTAATAAACACTTCAATTTTCTCAAATAATAATTGCTTCTATATGTTGGAAACTTTCATACTCTTCTAGCTTTTTAAATCTACCAGAGATTGTTGTAGCCAATAATTACCTCACTGTGGCATAGAGAACCAAAATCAATTCTACATCTCTAACAGTGTTTTTTGCCCCTAGCTTCTTTCCAACTCCCTCTCCTCTCTGTCTCTTAATCTTTAGTAACCACTATTGTATTCTGTATATCTATGGAATTGATCTTTCATCTTTCACAAATGCTCAGAGATATGGTGATTTTCATCATGGTGTCTATTTAAAGAAAAACTATGCAATTACTAAAAATTATTTTGATGTGGGAAAATATTCATTAAAACGCTGGCAACAAATGGAAAAATGACTATACCTTGCTTTTCTTCCATAGAAGCACATATTTATAGTAAAAAGCTCTAAAATCCATTCAAGCTAACAGTTACTGTTAAGGATTATGGGTGGTATATACTTGTTTAATTTTGTTAATGTGTGTAATTTTATAATGTATATAATTTACCCATGAAATTAATGTTTCAATGTTTTAAAGTCACACCTCAAACAAAATATAACTTATTAAAAATTCAAGGAGATTGTGAAGACAAATGAAAGTGTGCTCCCTATAAAAGAAGGTAAAAAAACTAAAATTTTTTGGTCCAGAATAATAGGTCTAATGAAAATAGTTTGTATTTGTACAATCATGAAGAATGTGGAATAAAGTTGGCATGTTCAAAAAATCTAGAATATTAAAACTAACATTTATGAAAGCTTAGAAAATGTGAGAAAAACATTTTTAATAATGAGAATTAAACTCTTAAAAATTTATCTAAATAGAGCATTTGAAATGTCATGCCCCATGATGCTTAAATTCTTAGATTTTTTTTTAATGCATTCATTCAACTTGGGATGTATTTCTCATGTTCTTATATTCAAGATTCTCATTTCTACAAGCTTGGAAAGGTCAGGTCTTGTATTTTGAAGATTTGTCTTAATCCATGGTACTATTTACTTTGCTTCTTAGGTACCAGCAAAAGCCAGACATCTTACTCCACAACTGCCCTACCACCAACTCCACCATCCCAGCCAGCCAGCCATCCTCCGTTGCCAGCATCTCATCCATCACAACCTCCAGCCCCAAGCCTACCTCCCAGAAACATTAAACCTGCCTTTGACCCAAAGTAAGCAAAAGATGATCTTGCCTTTTCTTGGGTAACGTCTTGCCATAGATTTTTAAACTACACTTGGCTGAGTGCTGAGGGTTCTATGATAACCTATAGGGCACCTTTGTGGGCACTGACAGAGAGAAGGGCTGACTGAGCAGAAAGTTCTCACATAATTTTAAGTCTGAGCCTCTATTATTTATCTGCTACATGTTGGGTTTCCCCTTAAGAGTTCACCTGAAGAAAAATTCCACTGCCTTTTCAAAAGTTCTGAAGGTTTTTGGAGGTCAGCATATCATGTCCTCTACTACTGCCATGACAACCACTGTAATCACCACCATTATCCTCATCAACCATCAGCGCCATATTTTACTGAGTATGACATGCTAGGTATTTCACATATGAAACCTCTATATCCCTACAAAGTTAGTAGTGTTATTATTATCCACAGATGAAGAAATGGAACTTCAGAAGGCCAAGAACTTCTCTTACCTAATTTTCTTAGATGGCTTTTTTTTAGAAATGTCAGAATTTTATGGGTTGCTATGCATGGGCTCTTTATCTGTGATTCACCAAAACAGCTGGTTCATGAGAAAGCAAGTAGAAGACTGGAAAAGAATGAAATGTTGCTTTAAAAAGAGAAATATTCCCACAATGGCAAGCATAGACCGTTTTGGCAAGACATGCTAGATCTTACCTTTCCTTTTCTAAAAAATAAATTCCTTTGCATGATTCTCTTTAACCACAAGTAAGTAATATCTTAACATGGTACAATTTAGTTTTCCATCATTTTGGGTTCCCTGACAGGCTGATGCTCCTTATAGTAAGTACCTTACTGTAGGCAGTAGATGCTGAGTGTTGGATTGACAGCCTTCCTTAACCGTTTCATCATTACACTTTAGAGGAGGGTTTGAAAACACATTTGTCATGGATAGCCACTGCTATTTTTCACTTTATAATGCTTCACTGGAGTTTTAAAGTTAGTAACTAATAGTGTTAGAGAGCTCATGGGCTATTATCTTGTGTACGGTCCGCTTTGCATATTTGCATTAACTTTCTACCAGCAGGAATTTGAGTTTATGGATGTTAACTTAAAGACTTGTCCCTCATAATATCCCACCACCAAATAAGAAAATAAGAGTGTAAAGTATCTACTTACTAATAAGTAAAGATTAAATAAATACTAATTTAATTGAAATAACTAATTAATATATTTTATATATACCTGAACTCTATATAAATTACTTCCCTTTCGTGTGCATAAAGCCATGTTACAGTTTTTCTAACTTTTTCATACTTTGGTAAGTCTAATAAGTTTGATCTTAGTATTTCTATTTCAGGATCTCGTCCTGGTTGCTGGCTTTAATGACTTCTGTATACAGCATAATTGTGTGAGAAAGTCTAGTAAATAACTTTAACATTAATAATAACTTGACAATAAATTGTGGGGAGGAAGAGTATGTGGCTCAATTCATATTGTCTCGGGGGTTCCCCAGACCACCTTATTTGGTGATTCACTTCAAGGACTTGAAGTACAGAATACAATAACATTAAAGGCTGAGCTTCATTACAGGTAGTAGCTAGAGGCTTCAAAGCATGGGCTTCGATGTTCTCTTGCTGCAGGCCTGAGAAACGTACACTGTGAGCTCTGATTTCTCTAAAGATGAAAATCAATGCAAGTCTCATGCTGCTTCCCAGGGAAGTCCACTAGAGCCAGTGCCCAAGGTTCTTACTGAAGTCTGATCGCATAGTACCTTCTGCCTAGCAACTTACCAACTTTCCTTCCTAGAAGGAAAGCAGGTGTTCCCCATAAGTCACATGGTTCACACCATCTGGGCACAGCAAAGTATTTATCAATGAGATAACTCCTCAGATCAGTGCATAAAAATTTATAGAAGCTGAGTTCCTATATACTATATTCCAACCTTGGTAGCAGATTCTGCTGAAAAATAACAAATCAGGCCTGTTATGGTGATACTTTTTTGAAATCTTACTCCCTAGAATACATCACAATAAGGTAAGGTAACAAGCTGTGAAAGGAAAAAAAGATTTCAAAAGCATTCCTGTACCACGGGCTACTACTTCCCTAGAATTCTGGTCAATTTTCTATCCAGCTCTACAAAGAATTCTTACAAAGAAGGCAAAGTTGCAATGGGCCTGCTGAGATGAGGCAAGGTAGACTATACCTAGAATCCCAGCTACAGGAGGCTGAGGCAGGAGAATCATAAGTTTGAAGTCAGCCTGGGTAACTTAGCAAGACCTTGCCTCAGAATAAAAAGTAAAAAGGGCTGGGGTGTAGCGCAGTGGTAGACTGCTTGCCTAGCTCAGGCAAGACCCATGGTTCAATTCCTAGCAACACCAAGAAGAAGGAGAAGAAAGAGAAGGAGAAGGAGTAGAAGGAGGAGGAAGAAGAGGTAGCCTGGCAATCAACCAGGCTCAAATTCTTGTATTATTGTTCTCACTAATGATTAGCAAAATCCACCAGTAATAACAATAAACGTTCCCTCATTCCTGTTTCCATCTTCTTAAGGACTCCTATTAGAGCGTGAATCTTTAGAATTGCCAACTTTCCAAAATCAAAGAAAAATAGAGAGAAGTAAGAGTCTTGGATACTATATTCCCTAGATAATCCACAGCGGGAGTATCTGAAAGTCAATTATCAGAGGGAGAAAGGAGAAGGAGTGAAATCTATTTTCTCTTCAAAATAGAAAGTCTCAACAATGTCAAGCTCCTATGAGTAAGCTCAAGTAAAGTCCACAATGAAGAAATAGATAGATTAGAAAACTTTCCCCAGGAAGGAGAAGCTAGATAAGTGCATACAGGAAATGAAAGCAAACTGGTTCTTGAAAGAAAACTGCATCTCGATATTCAAGCTGAAAGCTCATATTTTTCATAAAAGGGACATTTGTGAGTTGGCCTTTAGGTAGAAATGTAGAATATAGAGGTGACTCTGAGTTTTTCTTAACATTACCCTACAAGGAGTTTACATTGATGTTTCGTATGTGCTCCCTTTGCCAGCCAAATGGAAAGGCAAAAAGTTAAAGGCAGTTGAAGGCAGAAAGAGCAGATCAAACAAAAAGGCCTGAAACGTTCAAGGACAGGGAGGAAGTAGCCAAGACTCAAGGGAAGCAGTAGGAGGGAACCAGCTCCTCCTGGGACTTGCGAGTCCTGAGAGAGACTGTGGCTCTTATCCTAAGTGCAGAGGAAAGCCCTGAGGAGCTTGAGCAGAGCAGTGATGTTTTCTCACTTATATTTTACAAAGATCACCTTCACAGCTAGGCTGAGAATAGACAGTAGGTGGGCAAATGTCAAAGCAAAACACTCAGGCAGATACAGCACAACTGAAGACAAGATAGAGTTGGCTCTAGGCAGGATGGAGCAGGATGATGAGAAATGTTCAGGCTCTGGATATATTTTGAAGGTAGAGACAACAGAATCTGGATTTGGATGTGAAAAAAAAATCAGTAATGACTCCAAGGTTTTTGGTCAGAACAACTATAAAGATGATTCTTTCTTCACCTGAAATGGGGAAACTGCAGGCAAGCAAGTCTGGTTCTGAGGGAGATACATAGGAGGCCACGGATATGCTAAGACTGAGGTAGCTCTTAAAATCCAAGTGTGAAGTTGCAGACACAGTTGGGTATAAAAAGGAAGAGTTTCAGTGAGAATTCTGTGTTTAAAATATTGACTTGAAAGGCATAAGAACATGTTAAGATGATCAAGGAAAGAGGATATAAGCAAAAAGGCAAAAAGCAAGGCTTGGGCCATTCCAGCTGTCAGAGACCTGGAGGGAGGAGGGGCAACAGAGAACGAAAAAGGAAAACCCAGTACATTAAGTGCCCTGGGAGCCAAGTGGGTCAGATGCTGCCCAAGGCCAAACAAGTGGGATGGAGGAGATCAGGGCAATGATGCTCTCAAGAGGGATGGGGTGCAATCCTGACTGAAATAGCTTTAACAGATGACAGAGAAGATAAACTGGAGAGAGCTAGAAAAGACAATCTTTTTTAAGGAAAAAGAAATGGGATCGAGGTAATTTTTTTTAAAGATGGAAATAACAGTGTTTCTTTTGATGTAAAAAATCTAGTTAAGAGGAAGACGATAATTGTGGAAAACAAGGAATTCCTGGGACCAAGGATTGGAGCAATTTCAGTCTAGGGAGGGATGGACTTCCCCAAAAGCTAATAACTGCTAAGGCTGAGTCCTCCTTACAGTATACAGTAGAATCTCTGAGATAAGGGGGAAGTTTCAGAGGTAGGTGGCCCTTAGCACCTGCAGGCTGTTCTGCCTACTTCTGAAGTGTTCCCAGAAGTAGTTTGCAATTATATCATGCAGGCCAGAATGTCTTGCAAGCATAAAAGATTGAAAGCAAGTAAGAATGAGAAATCATAAATAACTTGAAAAATTAAGTAGTCAAGGCCAAAATTATAGGTGTTTTAAATTGTATTGTTTCCCCACCTAGTGGTCAGAATACAGTTTGTTACATTTTCTGCTATTTTTACCTAGGCATTTGAAGCATTGAAATTGATCAAAAGACTATGTTTACCATTATTAACATTCAAATCAACATCTTTAAGTATAACAACACATTTCTTGGTTCCATCTTTTAGAATGAATTATAATTCTAAGAGAATAATTTTGGTGAAAATAGCCATTGAGTGAGTGTTTGGGTACATAAAACAAATTACATGGTTATTAATAGTAATGAAACAGGAAATGTGAAGTAAGGAGAATAATAAATAATGGGAAGTGACCAAGCTTAGCAAAGGAAAGAGTAAATAGTTCTTCTCCTGAAGACATTCATAGTTTAAGAGGTTGTTTTAGTAAGAGTTTACCATATAACTTACATTAATTAGAAATGCTTAAAATCTTCCAGAGCTAGAGACATCCATTGTCCATGGCCAGTTCATCTTACCTAACTACATTTGAAAATCTTTGGTTTAAACAACATATATTTTGTACATATTCTTGGGTTAAGTATGGGAAGGTGCTGTATGCTCCAGAAGAAACAAAAAAAAAAAAGCCACCACATTTCTTTTTTGATAAAGGCAGGTGTAGGATAGTACGTGGCACTTAGATTTCTTATTTCATTTTTTTTAATAAGAACTCTGGCAATTAAAAGCTAAACTCATGAGCAGCAAATAAGGCATAAAGATCTATGTTGTTACCTCTTTAACTGTTAGGAAATAGAGACCTAATAGCTTTCTAAAAGTGACACACTTAACTTACTGTAATTTTACTTTTCCTATTTAATTCTGTGCAGCATAGCATAAAAACAAAGAACAAGGATGAAAGGCCTTGTTGAATAGACTTATTATCACTTCGGATAAGCTTCCTCTTCTGCTCCTTCACCCCTCCCCCGACTCAGTTTCTATTTCTTTGGTTGTGACTAGGGCCATTGTTTTTCTCTTCATCTCTCTGTGGAAATTTTCTCAAAGCCTGGAAAACTTTGAACAGTTGGTGATAATTTTTTTCTGGATTCAGGACATTTGCATCTATTTCTTCTCCTTTTCTTTTCTCCTTTATTGTCATTGCTATTGTGACTTCTATTTCATATTTATTTTAATAGTATATTTTAAATTCAGACCTATATCAAACACATTAAACATTGGTGTACTATACAAATATCTTTCATTTTACAGATATTAGTAATTTATCCAGGTATTTTAGGAAGTAAACTGTAGGTCTATTGTTACTTTCGATTTAATATTCTTTTTAACAAATGGTAATTCTCTTTAATAATAAAAGTCAGTTTAGCCTCTTGTTATTACTGTACACAATTCGTTCATTAAGAAGTCAAAGGCCTATCACAACAGGAATTATTCTAAAAGCTCTCTAAAAATGAGAAGTTAACTACCAAAGTGACAATCTCTTTGCTGAAGCAGTTTATGCTCTAGGGGTAAGATGGACCTGGAAGCCGTTTATGTACAATTATAAAGGACAGGATACTCACAGCAAAGGATTGGTGGGTGACATAAAGCAGCAACAAATGGGCTTTGAGCAGCCGACGATGCCTTCCCAGAGAAGGAGTGCGTAGGAGAGTTTACAGAACAGGGCGCGCACAGAGAGGATGATGAGAGGGAAGACTATTCCAGACAAATATGGACTCGGCACGGAGACAGAGAAAACCAGAAGAGCATGTGAACTCAGTATTAATAGGTGAGAATCTGATATAAGAGAAGAAATAAAAGAAATAGAGCTGTAAATGACAAAGCTTGTGTGCCATGAAGAGGGCTATAAATTTTATTTGGTAGAATATCAATGTATCTTGATATCTAAAGTATTTATATCTTTTAACTAGTATTAAGTTAATTAAGGTTAATTATGCAAAGGCCTCATTTATATTGATTGTTTATATTTACATTATATACTTGCTATTTTACTTACACATCTCATAATTTTATTTAAATAAATAAATTTTTATCTAAATAATAATTTAAATAATTTGTTATTTTATGTCTTTGTTATTTTATTTAAATAATAAATAAATCCCATTTTCAGGAGGATCTTTGATGAACAATTAAACAACTCAAATAGCCCCAAATTTTTCAAATCAATAGTTCTGTTGATAAATCTAGCTGATTAAATTCTCTTAGATGTTCTACATTGTACATACAAGTGTAATATTTTGAATTTCATCTTCAGCATTTCAAACATGAGACTGGACAGATTCATGGTTGGTAGAGATTTCAGTCTGTAGTTGGCTGGATCCAAGGCAGGGTACTGATGAGTATCATGCCCCTGTAATCCTGCACTTCCCAAAAGCCCCACCTATGAGCATATGAAGCTTTAGGGGACATCTAGATATAAACCATAGAATTCATTCTTAGATCATGATGTATTCTTTTATCAGGAGCACATAATATGCACTTCACTGTCCTGTCCTTCTTTGGATGTGGTGTTGATTTTAGCCAAAAGGCTAATGTTTAATTACTGCATAGTTTCTGTATTTAGTTCTGAATCTTCCAAGGACCAAGACTCACTAAATGAAATAAATGTCTTGTTTAATGAGTTGATTAAGTGTGCCTATGCATTTAACCTAAACAGAAAGCAAGGCAAATATAAGCTTAATTTTCAACTTTTATTTCTTTTTTAATTGAGTTTGTTAGATTCACAGTTGATCACTATATATAATATGCTTACCATCCCAGATAGAGACTGAGACAGATATATCCATTGCAATTCTCCCTAAGCCACACAACCAAATAGGTTTAGGAGGAATTAGTAGTTCTGGTGGTCAGTAGCATAGTACATTAACTATAATCTACAGTAATCTATAATATATTTCAAAATACCTAAAAAGGAAGAGTCCAAAGTTTCCCAACACATAGAAATAACTGGTTTTAAGGGATAGAATTGTTAAATCATCCTGTTTTGGACATCATATATTGTATATGTGCATCAAATTATCATATTATGTTCCATAGTTATGTACAAATGTTGTGTGCCAATAAAAATACATATTGATAGAAAAAGAAGTCACAAGAGGTCACATATGATATGTTTTCATGTTTCAGGAAATGTCCAGAGAAAGCAAATCCACAGAGACAGTGAGAGGATTAGTGGTTGCCAGCAGCTGGGGGAGGAGGGATGGAAAGTGACTTCTTAATGGGTATGGAGTTTCCATTTGAGATGATGAATATTTTTTTGAACAAGTTGATGGTAATAGTTGCACAACACTAACTATACTAGATGTCACTAAGTTATACATTTTAAAATGGCTACTGTGATGAATCCACTAGGTACACTTTACCACAATTGAACATTAGAAAATAATAAAAACTTATTAGACTTGAATAATGGCCAGAAGAATAAGAGAAACCATGGAAGTGTTGAACCTTTCAGGGAGAAAGACAGATATCAAACCACCTTTTTCTTATACCAATTTCATACTGTCTTTATATCCCCAAAGTTCCAAAGAAGGAAACATAAAAATCTGTGAAAAAGCAAAAGAAAAAAAATCTCCTAAACCACAGATGTACCCAGTAAGCCCTTTTTATAGTCAAAGTGATAAGAAGGCATTTCCAGAACACACTCTTCAAATGGAGAGGATTAGTTTTGTGACTAGCATCTAACACTCTAGTTCTTAAAGCAGTTTGAACACTGAGTCAGAGGGATATGATCATATTTTTGTATTAGAAAGATCATGTTCAGAAAAGTTACAGAAGGGACTGTCAGGATGAGAGAGAGAGAGAGAGAGTGGGAGAGAGAGAGAGATGGGGGAGAAGAGGGAGAGGAAGAAAAAGAAGGAGGAGGGGGAGGACGGGGAAAGGAGAAGACAGGCTTTGGCTGCAGATTTCTGCATGGAATTTACCAACATTAAAATAATAAGTGGAGCTGTAGGAAACCATTCAGGAATAACTGGAGAGTGAGGGAAGAAAAGAAAGCCAAGACCAGAACAAAGGCAAAATACATCATCACTAAAAGGGGAAGTTAAAAGAAAATAAACTTACAAAGAAAACTGTGGAATCGTAGCCAGAGAGACAAGAAGTTAGCCAGGAGATAGTTCTTATGGAAACATACGAAGGAGGCTGTAGAAGGGCAAAATGTGGAACGCTTTCAAGGCCTACAGAGCAATGAACTAAGAGGTGGACTGAGAGGTGTCTGGTAGACTTGGTAACTAAAATTTTTTAAATTAGTTCTGTGAAGAAGCAGCAATAGAACACAAATAGTAGTCAATGAAGAAATGAGCACGAGGAGAGGAAATAGGGAACATAAACAACTTTTTTCTTCTTGGATGTAGAAAGGAGGATTATCTTGCAACGTGAACAATTCAGAATAGCAAAGAATTGTTTGCCTAGTATGGAGGAGAGTAACTTGAGCTGAGAGAGAGAAAAGAATGAGATATTTAGGAGTGAGATGGGAAGAAGAAGAACATAAATAACATGATAGTACAATGAAAGAATGCGGATCGTTAAAGGACCAAAATTACAGAGAATTCAGATGTAATTCAGGACACAGACGGAAAGAACTTGGCAGTAGAAGGATGGATGTAACTTCAGGCAAATTTCTGGGTTAACCCATAAGGTAACTCATTTTAGTTAGCAGTTATTTTTAATGTCCAAAGTCAGTAAAATGGGAGATTTTTTAAAGATAAGCTAATCACTGTAAGAATAGAAAACATAAATTATTAAGAACTTTTGGGGCACAGGTATTGATAACACTGTTAAGAGAGATTGGAATCAAATGGTTGAAAGGTAGCACCTTGGAGTCTAAACCACTAAGTGACAGAAGTAAAGGCAGATGGAAACCATCTGGAGAGGGAGGAGGAACTGGGGATTGAACAAATTCCCCTTGGTGTGTTTACCAGAGAACCAATCTAGTGCCTTAAGAATCCAGGACTGAACAATCCATTTACTGTAGATTTAATGGCAAACATATGTCTCTCTTGAAGCACTGAGTCCATTGTACACATCCACTGTGCATGGCCAGTGCTATACTCAAGCTTTTCAAGTCTCCATTTTCTGCCACAGTGGCAGCGTGAATATATCGCTAAGTGCTTTTCTATGTCTGAAGCTTGAAATTACAGCAAATATTAAAGAGAAAAAAATAATTCAAATAATACTTTCCCTTTTTGATTATAAAGTAAACATTAACTTGCTCTATTTTTACTTTTTCTTCTTTCTTATTTTCAGAAGCCCTGTAAATGAAGAAAGTCAAGATGGTGTCATGTACTTTGATGGTAAGGAACAAAAAATATTTTATTTATTACCTTAATCACAGACAAATGAGTCAG